TTACAGGTAATGTCTCACTCACTATTAAAACTTACAGGTAATGCCTCAGTCATTATTAAATCTTACAAGTAATGCCTCACTCACTATTATTAGTATTAAAACTTACAGGTAATGTCTCAGTCATTATTATTGAATATTAAAACTTATAGGTAATGCCTCACTCACTATTAAAACTTACAGGTAATGTCTCAGTCATTATTATTAGTATTAAAACTTATAGGTAATGCCTCACTCACTATTAAAACTTACAGGTAATGTCTCACTCACTATTATTAGTATTAAAACTTACAGGTAATGCCTCACTCACTATTAAAACTTACAGGTAATGTCTCAGTCATTATTATTAGTATTGAAACTTACAGGTAATGTCTCAGTCACTATTAATACTTACAGGTAGTTCGCCACAAGTTTCCCTTTCTGATCGTGAAGGATCACAGCTCAGCACCATCCACTGTAAATCTAGCTGATCAGAGGAATACAATAATATAATCTTGATTTGACATAGTTCACAGTGGCTGTAAATATATTTTCTAACAATAGTACATTTACAATAAAAACACAGAGAGCAGTGGTGTAATTAATCAAAATTACAAAAGTAAAACTTAAAATTACAGAATACTTTAGAGTATTGGCAGATCTGAAATTATATTTAACTATGACCTGTGCCACCTACCGGTACACTCCTCTTTCGATCTTTATACTGAGCAAGCATAATGTTCCCATTGACGTCAATTGGTCCACGTTGATTCATAGACCTAGTAGTCGTTTTCTCACAGTCTAAGTACAGCGTAACTTCACTTTCATAAACACTTAAGTCAATCTTGTGCCACTGCTTATCATTTACCTGTAGTTAAAAACAGATAGTCCTTACGCACATTATCTTCTTCAGTGTTAAGCCTTGTTTGTTTTGGATTTTGCACAAAGCTATCGAGGGCTTTCTGCGCTAGCCGTCCATAATATAGCAGTGACAGACTGGAGGTAAGGCACCCACCGCCAACTCTTGAGATACTCTTTAACAACGAATAGTGAGATTGGTCGTCACATTATAACATCCTCATGGCAGTACAAGCGAGCATGTTCTACATCTGTTGTACATGATACATACACATGTTGTACATGATACATACACATGTTGTACATGATACATACACATGTTGTACATGATACATACACCTGTTCTACATGATACATACATACATATGTTGTATATGATACATACACCTGTTATACATGATACATACACATGTTATACATGATACATACACCTGTTGTACATACACATGTTATACATGATACATACACATGTTATACATGATACATACACCTGTTGTACATACACATGTTATACATGATACATACACATGTTATACATGATACATACACCTGTTGTACATACACATGTTCTACATGATACATACACCTGTTGTACATACACATGTTCTACATGATACATACACCTGTTGTACATACACATGTT